AATTTAAATTTGACCTGGATTACAATACATTTTTGTATCCGTATGCACCATGTATAGGAAGAAATGTGAGCAATGAATATCTGTATGTAGGAATTTAAAACACTTACTGTGATGTGGTAACAAAGAAGAGCTGTTTTAAATGGTTTTAAATTAGTTAAATACTTTTATTCATATCCTACATGCATTCATGCACGATAAGGAATATAAACATGACAACGTGAATCGCTAAACATGCTGGTGGGGAAAAGATTTGATGAATTAAAGGGTATTTACTTGTCTTATCTCTACAGGAAGGGAGTTTCATACGCAGAGCCCCCGAGGACCCGAGGCTGCCCACACAGCCAAAAGGAAACCGAAAGGTTTGGAAAACACCTATTTAAACACAGAGAACTTGAATGACAGCCAAAAGAATTTCTTGTGGCTGCAATTCAAGTTCTCTTCTCTGACTCTGAGGGGAGAGCAAAATGATGACCCTCTGTCATCATTATTTCAATTTCTCCTTGATTCCAATATCTGTGGAAATTAGTAAAGCGTAATGAGTAAAGTTGGATGTGAAAATATCTTTACCTTTGTATCTTCGGCCACAGGCTGGAGATCTTAAGGCATTACATTTAGAATCTCAAACTGAACAAACTAAATCCCACCTTTACAGGTATTTCAGGTCATTTAGGCATTTACACATTTACACACTTTGGTCTTAAATGATAACTTTAATATGGAAGCCCATTTCCGCCACAAAAAAAATCAAAATAATAACTGGTCAGCGAGAGGTTGTTAAATTGACCGTAGACCGTAGTCACCAACCAAGTCATAATTTCGACTTTTTATCTCATAATTTCGACTTTCTTAAGTCTTAAGTTGACTTTTTATCTCATTTGTTTTTTTGTTGTTGTTTTTTGTGGCGGAAATGGGCTTCCATACTTTATATAACAAACAGTACAAAATGCAAATTCTTAGACAAACAATACAAGCTTGGAATCTTTTCATTTGAGAAAATGGCAGCACCTCTCAGTGCAAATGTATTCAATAGCAACATAAATAACACCATGATATAACTATATTTTTCCAACACTGTACAGAGCTATCATCTGTCCACATCTGTCTATGAAACGTTATAGAGGCCACGACATATTATTAATGTTATGTATAGACAATGCATGCATTATCTAAAACCAATTCAAGCAACAGTTTTTTGTCATACAGCTCTATAGGACAACATGGATTCACAGAAAAATGGCCACACGGAGGTCCACGGACCTGTGGCTGGTGTGTTTCTGGAGAAAAAAAAGGAGAAGATTACCATATATCAAGCAATGAAGAAACGTCTTCTTCAGCCAGGAACAGCAGTGGCCCTGCTGGAGGCACAAGCTGCCACAGTGGGCATCGTCGACCCAATAAACAATCGAACCCTTCGTGTTGCTGATGCTGTTACGGAGGGAATAGTTGGACCGGAGATGAAAGAGAAACTCCTCACAGCCGAGAAAGCTGTTAATGGCTATGTAGACCCATACACCGACCAAATGATATCCTTGTACCAAGCTGTGCAAAAAGATTTAGTCCCCAGAGAGTATGGATTGAGGCTTCTGGAAGCACAGATCACCACAAAAGGCCTGTTTGATCCCATTGAGAAATCAAATATTTCAGTTGAATCTGCGATTGAAAAAGGCTTCTATGAAAAGGGTTTGCTCAATGACAAGATGCCGGAGCTCAAAGTGTACTACAGTCCAAGCCTACAAAAACATCTCAACTACCGAAACCTCCTTGAGAAATGCACTTTGGAGTCTGACACAGGCCTGCGGCTCCTTCCTGTTTCCGTCACGTTCAAAGGCTTGCGAAAAGGGATTTCCTCCAATCAGCTCCTTGAATCAAAGATCATTGACATGAAAACATTTGATGACCTACAGAAGGGAAATACCACTACACAGGATGTGATGTTGATGGAAACAGTAAAAGACTACCTGCAAGGCAAAGGAAGTATTGCAGGCATTGCTCTACTCTCATCCAATCAGAGAATGAGCATTTATGAAGCCATGAGAAAAGGTGTACTGATGCCAGGAACAGCCCTGATTCTACTGGAGGCGCAAGCTTCAACTGGATTCATGATTGATCCTGTGGAAAATAAGACGTTCACCGTGGATGAGGCAATCAAAAACAAACTTGTTGGCCCTGAATATCATACAAAGCTGCGTTCTGCTGAGCGAGCAGTGACTGGCTACAAAGACCCATACACAGGGGAAACCATATCCCTGTTTCAAGCACTGTCGAAAGACCTCATTGTTAAAGAACATGCGATCCGCCTACTTGAGGCCCAAATTGCCACGGGTGGAATAATAGACCCTATCAACAGTCACAGACTACCAACAGAAGTTGCCTTCAAGAAAGGTTATTTTGATCAAGAAATGAACGCCATCCTAGAGGATTCGGGGGACGACACAAAGGGTTTCTTTGACCCAAACACAGAAGATAATCTAACTTACCTTCAGCTGATGCAAAGGTGCGTCATTGATCCCAGCACTGGACTGTGTCTCCTCCCACTCTTTGGGAAATCCAACGAGCAGAATTTCAACTTCATTGACTGGCAAACTAAAATGACCTTCAAAAAGGAGAAGGTGAACGTGACATGTGGAAAGTACACGGGAATGACAGTATCCCTGTGGGAACTCCTGATGTCAGAATACTTTGATGAATGCCAGAGGCGAGAGTTCATTCAGAACTACAGAGAGGGGAAGTTCAATATCAAGATAATTATCACTATGGTTCTGGAAGTCATAGAAAAGTCAGTGAAAACAACCAATGTTGTCTTTGAAGGCATCAGAGAAACAGTCACAGCCAAACAACTGGTGGAAGCCGACATCATTAGTAAGGAGGTTATGGAAAATCTGGAAAAGGGAAAAATATCAGTGAAGGAAGTGATAGAAGATGAAAATGTAAATGTGTACCTACAGGGGAAAGACAGCATTGCAGGAATTCTGCTTCCTGATTCTCGGATCATGACCATCTACCAGGCCAAACAAAAAGGGAAGCTGATGCCAGGAACGGCTCTGATTCTACTAGAGGCACAGGCAGCAACAGGTTTCATAATCGACCCTGTTGGAAATCAGAAGTATTCAGTGGATGATGCAGTCAAAGCAAAGATAGTGGGTCCCGATGTGTGTCAAAAGTTGCGCTCAGCAGAGAAAGCGGTCATCGGGTACAGAAATCCATATGATGGCCAAATCATATCCTTGTTCCAAGCCATGCAAAAGGATCTCATCCTAAAAGACCATGGAATTCGACTTCTGGAGGCACAGATTGCCACTGGTGGTATTATTGATCCAGTAAACAGCCATCGCATTCCTGTACACGTGGCCTATAAGAAGGGATACTTTGATGAGGAAATGAATGAGATCCTGAGTGATGCAAGTGATGACACCAAAGGATTCTTTGATCCCAACACCCGTGAGAACCTGACATACTTGCAGCTCATGGCCAGATGTGTCAGAGACCCCGCCACAGGGCTGTGCCTCTTGCCACTCAAAGGCAAAAGCAGCAGAGTTAACATTGATGATAATATTAAGGAAACGTTGAAAACAACCACAGTTACTGTTAAGTATGGCAGGTTCAAGGGCAAACACACAACAATGTGGGATCTTATTAATTCAGAGTATGTGACGGAGGACAAAAGACAGGAGTTTTTCAAACTCTTCAAGTCAAGGAAAATCACAATTGAGCAGCTCATCGTCGCCATTTTAGAAATCATTGAGAGCAAGGAGATTCAACAACAAGCAGAGCTGAGCTTTGCTGGTCTCAGAGGAGAAGTCTCTGTTAAGGATCTTTTGCAGCTTAGCATTGTGGATGAAAGAACATACAACAGCATGGTTGATGGAAAGATGACCAGCACAGATCTGATGAAAATGGGGAGCGTGAGAACCTACCTGCAGGGGACAGGTTGCGTGGCTGGTGTGATACTTCAACCCTCAAATCAGAAGCTAAGCATCTACGAGGCACAGAGAATTGGCATCCTCACACCTGGCACAGCCTTCTGCCTTCTTGAAGCGCAAGCTGCCACAGGATTCATTGTTGATCCTCTGAAAAACAAGAAGCTTACGGTGGAACAAGCTCTCAGAGAGAAGGTAGTTGGTCCACAGATGCAAGAAAAGCTTTTGTCTGCAGAGAGGGCCGTCACCGGTTACACAGATCCATACACTGGTCAAAAGATCTCACTTTTCCAAGCCCTGCAGAAAGATCTAATTGTCAAGCAGCATGGCATCCGTTTACTAGAGGCCCAGATTGCGACAGGCGGAATCATTGATCCTTTGAAGTGTCTTCATTTGCCCCTTGAGGTTGCATACAGGAAAGGATATTTTGATAAGGAACTTAATCAGATCCTATCAGACCCAACTGATGACACAAAGGGCTTTTTTGACCCAAAGACACAAGAAAATCTGACGTACATGGAGATGTTGGGTAGATGTGTGAAAGATAAGGAAACAGGACTGTTTCTTTTGCCTCTGAATGACAAGCCAACAGCTGTGGGAACAAAGGCTAATATGTACACTGATGCAGAGATACAGCAAGAGTTTGAAAAGACAACTGTGAGCATATCAGTTGGACGTTTTGCAGGCAAATCAGTTTCTTTGTGGGACTTGATTCACTCTGGGTACTTCACTGAGGATCAGCAGTTTGAATTCTTTGAGAAATACAGAACAAGAAAGATAACTACACAAACCATAATCACATCAGTGATTTCCACCATTGAAAAACTGGAAAATGAAAATCCCCAAATGATCATGGGCCTGAGAAAACCAGTCTCTGCGCAACAACTACTGGATTCTGATATCATTGATGCAAATACACTAAAAA